TATAAAATAAAGATAAAATAAAATATTCAAAATCTTCTCAAAAACAAATTATTTGTTAAAATTTTAATTACATTCGTGATGTAAGAAGATAAGGTATATCATTGCGCATAGTGATGACGGCACGATGAGTGGAACCAATTTGGATCCAAATATTGGACCCCTTGCGATTTAAACACAAAATAATCATATATAATCATATATATAATCATATATACCTAAATTGTTTGAAAAAATAATATAAAAATACAAACGCGCAAAAATAATGTAAAAATACTGGAAACAATACAAATGTGCAAAAATCCAAAAATGTCTTTGTATAGAGAATTATTTCTTTGATTTTAATTATTTTATTTAAAAATAATAACACAAGTGCTTTGTAAGTACAAAATATTACGAGCAATGGACAAAGTACAATCAGATTGGAAATTTTAAATATAACGGATATTTCTAATTATAAAATATTGTAATCATAATAAATCATGTTGCATTACATAATATTTTGATTTTATAATAAAGTCGAGTTATAGGCCATATCAAATTTAAGTCAGTATAACAAACGATAATTTAACGGCGATGCGATTTTTTTTATTTTATCATACTGTTTAAGGGTTTAATGTCTGGAGACATGTTTTCCGATTGCACTGCAATTTTACAGATTTCTTGTTCTTAAATTGGAATCGTTCTGGGACATAACAAAAGAAAGAAAAAGAAAAAAGAAAGAAAGAAAAAGGAAAGAAAGAAGAAAAGAAGAAAGGAAAAAAAGAAGGAAAAAGAAAAAAAAAGAAAAGAAAGAATTGAAAAAATGTCATCAAGAGTGAATAAGAGCTTTGTTCATATTTGTACATGTTCATGTGTGACAAATTTTTTGCCGGTATAAAGTGTTGGGATGCTTCGAATTATAGCCTAGTATCAACACCATAAAAACAATCTAGTAAAATTAATTGATTCTTGCGTAACAAGATGAAATTATATGAAAAGATTAGTTAGATTGTTGAGAGCTTATATATAAAAGAATTATGTAATTTTAATATAAGTTTTTTATTAAAAATACGACTATCATTCAAATAAAAGATTCAAGCGTATTCCATTTAACAATAAATCTAATTTCATGAATGAAAAAACTCATAATAAAATTACAAGAGAGAAAATAGAAGTTATTAATTAACATGAATCATATATCACAATGTTGCATATCAATTATGTTTTTAAATATTAATTACTCATATTTGCGTACAAATTCAATATATAGGATGTTCCAGAATGACCGCCAAATATTTCGTGCGCAGATAGATCGTACTAAACTAAGTCGAAAAGTCTTCTACCATTTTGAAATTTTAGTAATACTAAACAAGATATTAATTATTAAAGATTACCGAATATTGGGTTTCACTAATTTTTTATTGAAGTATTATTATAGAAAAATAGCAAGAGACAAAAATTGTTTATTTTCTTTTTATAGAACTCTATGAATTTTTTCAAAATTTTTTATTAATTTAAAAAAAACAAGAGATTAAAAATTATTAATTTCTTCCTATAGAATTCTGAGAACTTTTTCAGAATTTTTTAATATCGCATTTTCTCTTTAATAAAAAAAATTTTTTATTAACTTTTTAGTACCGCAATTTCTCATTTTGATAACTATTTTTATCAACATGAGAAATTGCGGTACTAAAAAGTTAATAAAAAATTTTTTTTATTAAAGAGAAAATGCGATATTAAAAAATTCTGAAAAAGTTCTCAGAATTCTATAGGAAGAAATTAATAATTTTTAATCTCTTGTTTTTTTAAAATTTATAGTATTTAAGTAAAAAAAAAATTAATAAAAGTACAATTAAAAGTTTTAAACACTAAAAATAAAATACGCCTTAAAAAATCTTAAAAATAAATGCATACCTCAAAAGTTGATCGCTAGTTATCCTGGAATGCATGATAGCACTCGCAATGACATTGGCAGTGCAGTAACTTAAAACATCGTTGGTGTTTGACATCCTTGGTGTTTTTTAAAATCAACATATCAGCGTGATGATTGCAAAACAGGAATTGCAAATGCAAATTGGATACCGATCACTACCCAAAATAATAGACAGAGCATCTGTTCATTCTTGTCATTCTCTCTCTTCCGCATTCTAGAAAAAAAAATATTTTTAATTAATATTCATTAATGTATCAAATTAAATATATTTGTCATCATACAATTATAATTCGTTTATTTGTATAATGTAAAATGTACTTACAGTAACTATATCTTCGATCGCATGCGTTGATTTAAATAGCATAATTATTTCCAAAGTGATTCCATCCGTTTCACTAGTCATGACGTTATTTTGATACAAACTGAATCTTAATTGTTCAAAAAATTCTTGTCTGTGCAAATCCATTGGAGTCAATCCAAGAATTGAGGCAGCTACCATGATACAACATTTGGAACAAGTTTTAAAGGCTAAATTGTATGAAATTTAATTATTGCACATATTTAGTTAATGAAAGCTCTACTACATTATATATAATTTAACAAATATTCAATTTAATAAAAAATAATCAATTATTATACACAAAATTATTATACATAAAAATGTAAAAATTTAACGTAAAAAAAATGTTACAAAATAAGTATCAAGTGCAATGTACCTCGTTTTGGACATTTTTTAATTGGCTTAAGAGATAATCTGTGATAGCGGCCCCATGATTAGCATGTATAAGTTCCAAAGCACATAAACTACTCTCTTCAAAGAAACCAGCACCGGTGAATCTCACATTGGGCAAATGCAACTGCATCAAAAGGTTAAATTTTTGTACTCTCTTAAAGAAACTCCATAGTCAACTTTGCTCAATTGGTAGTATGAGTTAATTCATTTCAAATTGTTTCTGAAAAATAAAACAAATAAGTATCAAAAATTATTAATTAAAAATTCTGCAAGAATCACTTTATATTTTCTATTTTGTTTTATTATTTTTTAAAATAAAAGATAAATGAAATTTCTTAAATTTAAAAAATAGTAAGATTAAATATTTTATATAGGTATTATATTTCTATTTAAAAAATAAGATAAATATGTAAATTACTAGTGTAAGAAGTCCCCCTCATCCAATGATATTGACCCGACATAATGTGTGAAAGTTATAATCCTGAGTAACCTTGAAAGAAGTTTCAATTGTAGAATGTTACTCGTTAAAAAGTTATAAACAAAAAATTTTAAGATATAATGTCTCATTTCTGCTATATGAAACCGAAATGTTCAGAATTTAAAATAAAGAACTCCGCACAAAACATACGGAAAATGGATCCCGACTAATTTAACTGAATTTGTAATATTTTGTAGTTCTTATCATACATATCTATGTAAGGCTGTAAAAATATTATAAATATTGATAAGTAATATTACTGACTGGTAATATCATTGATTCAATATTACTGAGCAGTATTATTAGCTACATTTATACTGTGGATTTAGGCTGCGGTCTATAGATGTTCTTGTTTATCTTGTAATTTAAATAAACACACCTATCCTATAGAGCAGCGTTTCATTTCATGCATGATGCGCATGCGGCATTATTTATCCTTGTTATTCATCGAATGTTAAACAAGGATAAATGATGTATCATGCGTATCATACACAGTTTAGATCATGGACTAAAAGCAGTGTAAACATAGCCAATGACTGTAAGATCACCTAAACTTCGCGGAAAGTCATACACCCCTTGACAGGAAGGAGGGGGGGAGGGGAGATTCCATTCCCTTCGCGTGGAAATCAAAACAAAGATATACTAACACTGCAAACCAACCAAAGATATACCAAACACTGCAAAGTTAATGCGAAACAAGATCTATCCCACCTCCCACCTTGCCTAGAAACGAACCTAATTTTATGATATATTAAATATGATATATTATATATAAATGAAAAATATATTTGTATACATGTACATAAAATTTAATGTACTTTTCATGAAAATTTATGAAATTTAATGCACATTACATTTAAGTAACTATTGCAACTTATAATTTTCAGTTAAATCATTTTAATTTCGTTCATAGCCACGAGCATTCATTTACATGTAAAGGAAGCTCGTGGTTACATTTCTAACTATACATTTAAATACAAATTCAACATCATACAATTACAATTCGTTATATTTGTGGAATATAAACATGATACTTACGATTGCTCGTACTTCTTCTTCAAAGTTAAATTAATGGCACTCGCCGATAAGACGATGGCGATTCCGACTAGTATCATAAAGACTTCTTCGTGTGAATGACTTCGATTCTAACACAAAGTCGATACGGTCAGAATCGAAAATACCGCTATGCGTATACCGTATAACAAAAAACAATATGTAGAATTCGAAAGTCTAAGAGAGTAAAATAAACTCAATTGCGCCCATTTGAAGCCGGTCACAATTTCCAAAAATGATAACACAACAACATCCGATCACATCGACAAACGAGCACAAACTAATATTATAAAGACAAATCATCTGCGGCATCTGCCGAGCGACTACGTTCGTGAAAAAAAACGCGGCGCCACGTCTCCTTCAAAATAACTCAAGCGACCAATCAGAGCTACGCTCTCTGTCACGTGTTCCACCGCACACGCGCACTAGCGAGACAACGATGAGACGACCAATAATCTTACAATCGATTGATGCGCAATCTGCGCCAATAAAGACACTAGATTAACAAAGTATTGCCGCCATTTTGGCTCTATGATGCGCGGTTATTCAAAATTTTAACTTCTTTCGTTGCGGTTTTTACAATTTTCAACACAGTAACCGGATATTTTCAATAATAATAGAATCAGGTTCTTCTTCTTCTTCCAAACTCCTGTATAGATTTCCGACCTTTTAACAGAATCAGGTTAGAATAGCACTTTGACATCATTTTGGCTAATTCAGTGAATTTTCTCATCGCGGTAATTTGATAATCTAGTGACTTTATCGCGACCAAAGACTACGCCGCTTGGCGAAATGTGTGTCCAAACTAAAATTAATGGCGATCAGATGTTCAATGGATTGATGTACAGATTGATGTAATAGTCGAAGAACTTTATATTTTATACTAGTACTGCCTAGTACGAGTCAAGTTTCGTACAATGAAGATTCTTGTTCCTTTTTCTTCTTTGAGGAATTCCTGGGATGTCATTCTGTAACTATTTTACACGCTTTTTACACGACAATCGATGTTATTGCGCAGCTTTTTCACCATATAAAATGCGCATAAAACAGTTATAGAATATATAGGCATAGACCCTGTGGAAGATTGGCAAATATAGAAGAAGTACAATGAAAATAAAGAGATGAAAGCACAGTTGGAAGCGAAACGAACGGAACTCGCGAGTGAAAAGGAAGCAATTAGCAGATATAAAATGTAATTATTTACATTTTTTTTGTAAACTGAGAAAAAGTTTAGAATTTTATGATTGTATGATAATAGTATAAAATTTTTATTCAATTTTTATTAAATTTAATATTGCTATTTTTAATTTATTTTAAATATTTATAATTTTTGCAAAGATTATATAAGAGATTATAGAAATATATGTGCATAGTGCATTTAATGTTCAATTTTCCTTTTTCTTTTTTTAAAGCATTAAAAATTTGTTAACTCATAAAGTCAGTGTCAGCTCAAAAAAAACTGGATAGAGAAAAACTCGGAATGATCGAGAAGCTAGTTTTGTTCGCATAATTAAGAACATTCATGTGGAAATAGAAGATTCACGTGTGATATGGGAGACCACTTTCATCCATTTTCTTTTGGCTTTATCCTAAATACCTTTGTAATACAATTCGAGAGTTGTATTCCTGGGAGACCACTGACAATTTGAAGGACATGTATGCCACTCTACAAATCTTCAAAGTATGCAATCTGATGGATCTAAATGTATTGACTACCTATTTTAATACAAACATGGAGCAGTACAGCAAGAGCAATATACCAATCTCTTTTATAGTAGCATTACAATCATCAATTACCTGGTTAGGCCCAATCAATGTCAAGTCCTCAGACTTAATCCCCTGAATCTGATGGCAATTACATCATCTCGAAGATAACTTACACTTATCAATCTGGCAAGATTCTACTGTAATAGTTTATAAAAATAGGTGAGTTTTATGATTAATTTTTTTAACTATTGCTCTTTGGGTAAACTTTTTTAGCAATATAAAGAGACATTCTTGGTATATGAAAAATTTGTGTGTAATAGAATAGAAAAGAAACAGCATATAATTGTCAACTATTTTCCACTTTGAAATAAAATTTTTTTAATTATATAGTTTACTGGTACTATACTTATTTCTAAATAAAATATAAAAAGTTGATCAGTTAGTTTTTAAGTTATTCTGTAAGCTAGAGGTAGTTGACACTATTATTTTTTTGTATATCTCTTTATATTTAAAAAAAATTTATTTAGATATCATCAATGGAAATCGATCTGGTCAATAAATGATTTACTTAACATTCAAAACATTGTGATAATTAACAAAAAAAATTATTAAAAAGTATTTAAAAAACAATAATTAATAAAGACGGGCGATTGAAAGCAACAACGACGTAGTAATTAGTGCATTTGATTTAAAGTTATTTTTAAAACTGTTATATTCTTTAATTGTTTGTTCTTATAGTTGAGTGACTTCCAAACTAGATTGAATCATTTTATATTTTGCTTTGCTTTTTGCAGATATAACTGCATCTAGATATGCAAAAACTATGGATTGGCTTAACGAAGCATCAGTATCAGATCTTAATTGGGAGAGGACTTGGATCAGGCATTGAAAACTGCACCATATCAAAAATACCAATTTGATATAATATCGCGGGTATTTCGGTATTGAACGAGGAAGTAGACATCGCAATTTATATCACATGATGATCTCTATGGAGACTTGAAGGAATTGATTGTTGTGAACTTAGATAGTCTAAAAATGCATTCTTTGGAGAAAGGAAATTCTAAGAATGACTTGGCTCGCATTAGCGTTAGTTGGCATGAGCAAAAGCGAAGCAGAAGTATTGCTGCATCTAAGACAGAACAGCTATGACAAATTCGTTTTGAAGATAATTGACTTTTAGATATTAATAATTTTAATTTACAATTTTAATAGTTTAATAGTTTTAATAGTTTTTATATTTAATAGTTTTAATAGTTTTTATATTATAAATTAATGAATATTATGTGGAAAGATGAAACATGAAAGATCAAATGAAACATCAAATATTACATAAAAAATTAATAAATATTATATAGAGAAATACATTTGCGTTAGTCTATGTATTACATATAAATTAATTGCGATCAGTAATAAGTAACAGAGCAATAAAAATAAATTTAAAAACTTCTGTGAAAATATTAGGTGTACAACTTTGCTTCCGCCGTTTTTTTTCCGAAATTCGAAGCTTTATTGTAAAAAACTGGTTATACATTTATGATTCAAAGTATTGTCCATCACTGGTCACTACTTTCTCTCATCTTTCGGGTAGCGATGAATCTCGCATCGAAAAAACTGGTCATCTTTTGAGGCTATCCACGAATCGATCTAATTTTTTACTTCTTCATAAGACCGGAAGTGCTGGTCAGTCAGGCCGTGTGCCATTGATCGAAACAAGTGATAGTCAGAGGGAGCAATGTCTGGAGAATACGGCGGGTGGGATAGGACTTCCCATTTCAACGTTTCCAAGTATGTCTTGACCACTTTCGCAACATGGGGTCGAGCATTGTCATGCTGCAAAATCACTTTATCGTGTCTCTCGTTGTATTGCGGCCGTTTGTCTTTCAATGCTCGACTCAAACGCATCAATTGCGTTCGATACCGATCGCCTATGATTGTTTTAGTCGGTTTTAACAGTTCATAATACACTACGCCTGGTCCCACCAAATACAGAGCATGATGCTATGCCGGTCTTCGACGTCAAAATCACCGTTCTTGAAGCGTTGAAACCACTCACGCCACGTTCTTTCACTAATACCGGCCTCCCCATAAGTATTTGAGAGCATTCGATGAACCTCAGCCGCAGATTTCTTCATATTGAAGCAAAAAATTAAACCCTCCCGCAAATGACGAGAATTTGGCTCGTAAACTGACATTTTCAATCGAGAATAACTTTATGATGCAGACACAAATCGACTAATGTTTCTATGGGGTTATGTTAACAGATGCCCAATACGATAGTTCTTTGATGTTACTCCATCCAATTGCATTGGAAATTTAGTTCCACAAGTATTTGATGATGGACGATTTTTTGATATCGAATTATGATTCCTCTGTTACCTACCTTCGTTATAGCAGTTGAGCATAACGGATGTTCGACTGCTTCAGGCGTTTTCGATCGCGTGGAGCATTTCTTCATCTCAAGAGAAAAACCCGGGGAGTTGCAGTGTATCTCTCTCTCTCTCTCTCTCTCTCTCTCTCTCTCTCTCTCTCTCTCTCTCTCTCTAATTATTTCCAGCGTACTTCCATCTCGCAACTATCGCTAAAGGAACTGGACACTACAATAATGGCCGATAAAAGAAAGTAGGAATTATAGCAATAAAGCAGATCACTAATCTTGAAGATGATATTCGAAATGAAGGACCGTATCGTTTTTCAGACAACAAGACAATCACATACCCTCGGAATTCATCAGATTTGCATGAATTTTTATTTTAATTTTAACCTTATGAAATTTTTGATTAACACCTGAAAATTTTTTTGAGAATTGTTTATATAATTTTTTGTAACTTTTATATAAATTTTAGAATTTTTCATAATTTCTAAATAATTTTATAATTTTTTTCTGAGAAAAGTTCTAGCACTTTTATGTAAATTGAAATACTTTTCAGA